TCTACTATATAATAAATATAATATATAATATAGTAGATATCTACTATATAATAAATATAATATATAATATTCAAGAAAGTCCCAATCTTGAATATTATATATTATATTTGGCCCTAAACTCTCTTTTATAATATAGTAGAATTTAAGACTATTTTTTTTAGTTATATTGTAATTTAGTTTTTGTATTTGAAAAATAAATAAATTAGGCATCTATAATAAAAAAAAATTAAAAATTAGTGAAACATAATTAATAAACTTGACCAACAAAATAATAAATTTAAATTAGTCATTAAAATAAAATAAAAATAGTCAAAAAAATGTGTGAGGACTGAGGAGGATTAAATAAACTCATATAAGATTATATTTTTTAACAAAATATTTTTAAAAATTACATTAAAATTATTTTTTTCACTTCCGTTAGAGGAAAATGATATATGTGAACCATTTGTATAACGGTGGGGTATATATGAGTCAGTTTTATAACGAGAAACATATCAATTCTAAATGACAAAAATTGAGGAGTATATCAAACCCTTTTTCCCATAGTTCAATATAAATATGAGATGTTGGTAAGGTTTTTATATTTCCCCGTAATTATAAAATGAGCAACTTTCACATATAGGAAACATAAAAATCAAATTTGTATGCTATAGCTATAGTTTGTATAATTGCGCTCCTTAGCAAACTTTATGTTTGCTATGGAGCATTAGATTGTATAACTCGCTGGCTCCTCTTCAGATTTGTATAATTTCGCTGTCAGCTTCTCGTTTGTATAAATCGCTAGCAGCCTCTCAATTCAATTTTATGTGTTTGCATATCTACATAAAATTTGAATTAGTATACAATTGAATCGAAATAAAACGTTTGTATATCAAATCTCTCTCACTCACTGTAATTTGTACAAGTATATGTTCTTTTTGTTGTGCTTTTCAATTGTATATGTATATATGTGTAATATGTATATAAATAAAAATTTGTATTAGTTGAATCTGTATATGTAAACGAAAATTCATGAAAAAAATAAATTTTCTTTTTTATATACAACTATATGCCTGAAGCAGAGGCCATTTTCTTGTATACTCTATTTCTGAATCCCGCCAGTTTTGTAACAACAGCCAAAGAAGCAGCCATTTTCTTGTCCTTTCGCTCGGAGAAATTGATATAGCAAATTATATGAAACAGTAGTTGCGAATTGGAAATAAAGTAAATTATAGCTATAACATTTACTTTAAATGAATAGTTTGCTATTATATACAATTTTCCCTTATAAAATAGCACGTCAAAGACACAAGGGGTAACCTAACCCATACTTCAACACCAAAAAGAAAAAAACGTAACATATAGTACTATATTAGTAGTAGTTAGTACTTCTTTTCATAATTTTAAAAAAGAAGAGAAAATTATACCAATACAACTTTTTAAAAAGGTATTTTAAAAAGTTACATCTACTTTTAGAAAATTACATAAATATAATTTATTCTAATTTTAAAATTTTTAATTACATTATGTACAACTTTTGATATTCCTAAAATATCTCTATGAAATGCGTTAAAAAGGAAAACATTCATAATTAAGCATGAAAATTTCACTGAAATAGAAGACACCCCATCTATGGAATTTTACTTACACCTAATAAAACTTGACTTCCTTTATGTTGTTTACATATTTGTTTTTCTTGCTTCCATGAAATAGGAAAATTAACTCAATATAATATTGACCAGGAGATATGGTGGGAGCCAATAGAGGGTCATGCTAGCCTATGGCATGACAATTGGACTCAATTAGGGGCATTGCATAAGTACAACCTCTAACTCATACAATAACTGATGATTTTGCAGAAGTTAATCAGGTTATGAGCACTAATGGATGGAATATGAGTATGATAAAGGAAATGTTTGGGGATGAAATATGTCAGTAAGTGAATACCAACCTGGGGACTGGCCTAATAGGTAATGAGAGGGACAAACCATGGTGGATGCCCAACAGTAAAGGAAACTTCACTGTTAGAAGTGCTTGGGAAATGATGAGACAAAGGAAGGACAAGCAGAATGATATTATGTTTATTTGGGAAAAAGGAATACCTTTCAGAGTTTCCAATTCCTTCTTTGGAGAATGTGGTTTAAAAGAATCCCTATTGGAGAGGTATTAGTTAGGTGCAAAATTGTTGACTCTGTTGTCTGTGTTTGTTGTAACAGAAACTTTTGACCATTTGTTTGTAGCATGCCCAGAAGCCAATTTTTTATGGAGAAATCTGTCAGGAGCTGCAGGGATACATGGACCATTTATACAATTGAAGCAAACAATGGACAAATGGTGGGGGTGCTGATTGTAATGTTAAATTGAGACCTCTATATAATGCAGTTCCAATATTTATCATATGGCAGATTTGGAAAAGAAGAAATGCTATTAGAAATGGAGGAAAATTATCCAGATTCACTATGTTAAGAGAAATCAACAGGAATATTCATTTATTTGCTATGAATAGATATCCTTGGTTAGTTAATATCCCAAGCTCTTGGCCTTGGATGGTAAAGTTTTTTTAAGAATATAGCCCAAAGCTCTCTTGGAAAGTAGTAAGATGGAGCTGGCCTGCTGTTGGAGTGTTTAAATGCAATACGGATGGCTCTAGCAAAGATCAATTATCAATTAGCTCTAAAGGCTTTTGTGTGAGAAGCTGCCATGGAGATTTAATCTATGCACAAACTGATTGTATAACATTTTGCACTGCATTAGAAGCTGAAGTGAAAGCGTTTACAAGTGGTCTACTGTATTGTGTGCAAAACAATTATCTCCCTCTTGTGATGGAAACAGACTCACTAATAATTAAAAAAGTCCTTGACAGAATATGGGAATTTCCTTGGGGAATAGCAGTGGACACAAGGTGCATTATGGAGGAGCTAAAAGATAAGGAAGTGGTGGTGACACACATTTTCAGAGAAGGAAGGGAACAAACTGGCTGATTTTTGAACTAACTATATCTTCAGTTTTGCAGGTACAAATAACATTCAGTTTACATCAGTAGAAGACCTACCAGGACAAGCTCAAGCAGTACTTCATGAAACACCAAATCTCAGGATAAAGAAATGTCAAAATGCTAATTTCAATATCTAAAACAAAACCTTTGAAATAGAGAAGGGCATGAACAAAACATACAGCAGCAAAGAGTATATCAGGCCTACAACAGCATTTACACAATTGCAGAACACTTTAAATTAGACCAATTGTTGTTTAAAGTTGGTCTAATTCTGCAGAATCAAAGAGGTTACCTAATTAGCCTTTAATCGCTGCAGTGGTATTAGCTTCTCGAAGCTCAGCCTGCACGATTTAAGGTTTGTTAGGTAAATCTCCTTGATGTATATGTGACAAGCTCTAAAGCTCACTGTTTGTGTCGTTACCTTGCGGACAAGATGGACGACTGTTACGAGTTGAAGAAGTCTTCATCAGACAGGATCCATGGCGTTTGTGAGAAGTTTTGAACGCCCAGGTGGATGCCGCCTAAGCTCTTGAACATTTCGTCTTAATGTCGGCGACTGGAAGGCGGCCGGAGTTACTGTTCTTGGTGGAGATGCGTCTTTTTGCAGATTCCAAAGAAGAAGGCGTGGGTTTCTTTCCTACCTACTGTTTTAGTTTCCTTTTTGTTGTTTGTTTATTTAGCTTTTGTCTGAGAGATTTGGTTTTCTTTTTAATAATAATTAAGGGCCTGACCCATTATTGATCAAAAAAATAAAATAAAATATACAGTATATAAATAATATTAAATAATGTATTGTGCCATATTGTAAATTATGTAATTTAGTTAATAATGATAGATTACATAATATTTTGTTTTTTTACTACTCACTTAGTGTTAAATTAAATGTCTTAGTTTGTCTAGACACAAAATTTAATAGATAAAAAAGACTTCTAATTATTATAATCTTAAATTAATGATATTTACAATTTTTAACTTATCATGTAAAAGAATTATTATATTAAGTATAAAATAGAAAATTTCTTTTGAAGTAGTTTTTTTTTTTTTTTTTTGTATATTCTATATATTTATTATTATTTGTCACTTTTCGTTAAATAGAGTGACAATTATAATAGTGCACAGTGCAGTGAGTCAGTGACCCGTCACCAAAGTGTTAAGAGTGTGTGTTTCTCGTGGCATTTTTCATTTGTTGGTTGCTCTCGCATTTTATATGAATGTCAATTCTTGATTTTTTTCTATAGATTCTTGTGGGATCGTGAAAACACTTTACCCCTATCAAATTGATTGATGAATATGTTAATACCAAATTTCTTTGTTTTGTTCTTCAATTCCTTTTTTGTCTTTCTCGACCCATAGGCCATATATATGTTACTGTATTAACTGAAAGGTGCATTTAATTTCAGAAGTGGGTGATTTCTCTTCACATCTGGGTTTGATCTGAAAACCCTTTTGGTGGTATGGAGGTTTATAAGAGATGGATTAGGAGGAATAAAGATTTTGTGCGTCAATTGGATTCTATTGCCAATGTAAGAACCCTTTCTCTTTTTCTTTTTTTTTTTCAATTTAAAGCTCTCTGCTTGTTTATGGTGTGAAAACAAGAATGAAATTGGACTTAATTTTTAATATGGTGGATAAGTGTAGTTTATAAATTTCATTTCTGTGCCTAAATGGTTTTTTTTTTCCTTTCAAAGTTTGTAACTTTGAGTAGTTTTGTGTTTGTTTGAGCTTAACCGAAAACGATGACATACTTCTCAGCAGTTTGGATTTCAAATGTTTGGTAAATGAAACTAAGGATTGTTGGCATGCTGGAAAATCTCATCAGGGGAACTTACACATAATAGTGTGTCGATCTCGTAGATGTTGACTTTTTTGCACCAGGATAATAGGGATACTTATAGTAATTTGAATTTGAGGGTGTAGGCTATGGTTTGACAAATACTCGAATAATGTTAGTAAATGGTTTCTTGAGGCTTCTTTACTCTGTGAACCGAGCTGCTAGTGAAGCTCGAATGGGCAAGTTACCCCGAACATCAGTACTAGTTGGAGAATGTTGGTAACCTGGTAAAATAGTTGAGGTGCGCACAAGCTTTGACACCATCAGTTTTAAGAAAGATAGTCTTTCCTTTTAGCAATCCATTCAAAGGGTGTTAGAAGTAATTTTACATGTATAGTTAAGGTGGTCAGCTAGCTGCAGAAACTACAATTATTTGGGTAAAATGGAAAATATATTTGAATATTTTGTGTTTGGTATGATGTAAATCGTTTTCTACGGAAAATACTTCCCCAAAAATGAAAAATTCAGTGAGAAATGGAGAGACAGCAACATTCTATACAAGCCTAGAACAATTTTCCCAGTGTGCTCGCAATACCCACTTCAGCTTCTTTTTTTTCTTCCCTTTGTTTACTCTTAGTAGGAGTTCCTTGTTTACATTAAGACATACATTTGCCAATGACATTTTTCTGATGTCATTACTTTTGCGGAAAAACTAGATGGAAGGTATCATTGCTTGAGATTTTACCTTGTCATATTTCCGCCAAATTAAAAGATATCATAGTTTTGTTTTTCTCCCTCATATAGTCGATGCCTTTGCCATTTTCTATCTCTAAAATTATTTACAGTACTTATTCCTTCAAGTCTTGGTTGTTGCATACACAGCTTCCTCATACTTGACAGAGATAAAATGTAGTTGTCAGCAGAATATGTATGTACTAATTGTTTCCTCGTCATTTTCTGTATGTTCAGAATTTAACGTGGTTCCTCCCAGATGAGTTTGCTGAATCAGAAATTGGGCCAGAAGCAGGTTTTGTGAAACTTTGGTAACAATAGGCTTCTTTTTTCTACTTTTAGGACAGTTTAGAATATCTTTCAAAGCTGATTTCTTCTCTTTTGAATTGGGATCACTCTTTTCCATATTGTCTTTCTCGTGTAAAAATTTAGCAACTTTAATAGTATTGGCTTTATTGTAAAAGTTCTCCTTGCGTAATGTCTCATTTCCTATGGAGTATTACCTAATGAAAATTATGAATAAGGAATTACTTGAGAGGACAGGAAGGCTTTTATTTTAGCATTTTTCACTTTCCTTCCTATGGTTTTTATCCCCTTTTTTCGCTGAGCTGTCTATTCCTTGCAGTGTCATCCCTTGTAGGAATGATATCTACCGTGAACGAATACATAATAGAAACAAGTCCAACCGAGGTGCATACGAGATGTGCAGAGTCTTCTTTTATCCCTTTATCATTGTGCCTTACCTTGCTGAAAGACTTGGAAACATCAATTGAGGTTGTGGCTGAGCAAATTTATGGTGAAAAGAACAAATGGAATTTGATTGCCATAACTGAGGCTGTTAAGTAAGTGTCCCAGCTAACTTATTCATACTCTCCAAAAGATATGTTTGGTACTGTACGACTAAATCTTTGCACTGTTTATTTTCCTTTTCAGGGTTTGTATTAGGCTGGTTATCTTCGGGAAGACTGGGTACAAAATGCTTTTAGAAGGAGGGGAAACTGAAAATGGAGAAAATGATTCTGATTCTTTTAGTCTTCAAAAAACGAAGAGGCAGCTTGGTAAGCCTACAGGGAATGAAGAGTCTGGTATCACAAAAACACTTCATGCGCAAAACTCTGGGAATCTTGAAGACAGGGCAATATCTGCCTTAAGCAATTTTGGCAAGAAAGCTGCAATGCAACATCCACAAGCAATAATGGAACCTCCAAGTAATTGTTTTTTTTGTTCTGAGCTAAATTCAGGTGATTTGATTGTTTTTCTCACTTGCCTTTTAAATTTTTTTAAAAATGTCTTTGTAGGTAAACTAGCTGAGAGACCTAGTCTATGGACTTTCTTATCTGAGAAAGGTGTTCCTGGAGGCTTCTTCGTGACGGGAGAGATTTTGTTCATCATAAGGCCTCTTGTTTATGTACTATTGATGAGGAAGTATGGAACGCGGTCGTGGTTTCCCTGGTGCGTGTCACTGGCTGTGGACCTCATCGGAAATAGCATTCTCTCAGTTACATTGATGTCTCAACATAGCGGGAAAAATCAGCAACTTCAGTTTTCTGACTCTGAGAAGGACGAGGTTAGGATACTTTAGGATTTCAGCAATTTTCTTTCTCCTCTTACGGAATCTAAGTTCACTTGTACTGACCCTAGACTTAGCAGTTGATGCCTCCTTGGAATAACATCAGTTCTTCTTTAACTTTTTTCTTAATTTTCTCGTGTTAGGATCTGATTCTAGACTCTTGTTAGGTGTTGATTCTTTCTTGAACTGGACTGTGCCTTGTTTCTGTCTTAATCACATCGGTGGAATATTTCCCCTCTGGTTTTTTCTTATGCACTCCTCCATCATCAGGCAACCATGCACCCTACACTTCTTCTGTGCAGAATTTACCTACCAATGGTAGTGAATCCTGTTTAAATTTATATTTTGCATGCTGAAATAAGATGATTTTGTTCAACACTCTTATGCAGTTAAAAAGACGAAGAATGTTATGGGCATTGTACCTCATGCGAGATCCACTTTTTACCAAGTATACCAGGTAATTATGTATTTCCTTCTTGTTACATATGCTGCTGATACTAACTAATCCCTTCAACACGAAGTCAGAATCAAGTAGAATGGTGCTAATGCCATCAGTTATTGCAGGCAAAGACTTGAAAGCACTCAAAGGCTAGTGCAACCCATTCCCATTCTCGGATTTGTTGCAGGTATGTTTGAAGATATTTATGGAGTTCAGCTTTTCCCTTACAATATATTGACAATATCTGATCTTGAAATGCAGAAAAAATAATTGAAATTCTTATTGGAGTCCAAACGCGTTACACGTACATATCTGGTTCATAACAGGGGGAAGCTATCAGGAGAAATTTGAAGCGTCTACATGTAGACATTTGCAGTATCTTTTCTTTATTCCTTTTCTTGAGGATTTGGGGAGAGTTACTATACATCTATGTTGTCTTGGCAGGCTTATGCAAAGTATGTTACATCTATGTTGTCTTGGCAGGCTTATGCAAAGTATGTTACATCTATGTTGTCTTGGCAGGCTTATGCAAAGTATGTTACATCTATGTTGTCTTGGCAGGCTTATGCAAAGTATGTTACATCTATGTTGTCTTGGCAGGCTTATGCAAAGTATGTTACATCTATGTTGTCTTGGCAGGCTTATGCAAAGTATGTTACATCTATGTTGTCTTGGCAGGCTTATGCAAAGTATGTTACATCTATGTTGTCTTGGCAGGCTTATGCAAAGTATGTTACATCTATGTTGTCTTGGCAGGCTTATGCAAAGTATGTTACATCTATGTTGTCTTGGCAGGCTTATGCAAAGTATGTTACATCTATGTTGTCTTGGCAGGCTTATGCAAAGTATGTTACATCTATGTTGTCTTGGCAGGCTTATGCAAAGTATGTTACATCTATGTTGTCTTGGCAGGCTTATGCAAAGTATGTTACATCTATGTTGTCTTGGCAGGCTTATGCAAAGTATGTTACATCTATGTTGTCTTGGCAGGCTTATGCAAAGTATGTTACATCTATGTTGTCTTGGCAGGCTTATGCAAAGTATGTTCCAAAATTGTCAATGTTTCTTTTTAGTATAGTCATCTAGTATCCAAGAAACCCTTTTGGGTTTCTCTGATATTGTCAAAGTAGATTAAACCTTTATCATAAATCATTACTGAAATGAATGATTCAACAATTACATCTTAGTGGATGCCATGTATGTACAAGTCATCCTCTTTAGCTAAGAGCTTGATCCAAGTGCTTGAACTGAAATACTCAATTTTTTACAACAAATTGCATATTCATCAACAATCTTAATCTATAGCAGCTCCATTGTGAAAAGATGCACACTTGTAAAACAAATCAATTACATTGGAACAAATTAAAGAATTTCACATGTGTGTGTATACAGAGTACTTTAACATGCATTTAGTTGGTGACAAGCCAACATAAAGATAACTGCTGTAACATTTCTTTGGCCTGGGGTTGAAGAATGAACAGAGCTTTAAAGAGGAAATGGAAAGCAGGAAGGAGAGTAGGAACGTCGTATTATCCATCTGAAGCAGTAGCAGGCCAGACACTGGTCTCTCTATCTTGGCTGTTCCCCCAAGGAATTTCCGAACTGAAATAATAGTTGTGGCACTCTCTTTCTTCCTTAGAGAAGGAACTTATCCTTGAATTTTTGCATCTTTTCCTCAAAATGCAGTTTTCCTTGGAATCTTCCTGCAAGAAAGCAGCGCAATAATTATGAATTTTCGAATAGGTAGGCCAACATTATTTATCTGATATCTGTATGAAGGTAATATAAGAAAATTCATCATGAGCTTCATGCTTCAGTCTAACTAACTTGGAAGTCTAGAGATTATTTCATATTCTCCTTGCAACCTCATCCTGTTTGAACTTTCACTTCTCAACAAACTTGATTCCACATTCCACCAAATTTCCATCTCCAAATAAAGCAAAAATATTACAGAAAAAAGCACATTAGTAGACTTGGCAGCCAATATGTCCAACATCAAATGCCATGTACATAAGAGAATTGGTAAAGAATACTGATGTACATATACGAAAGGAGTAACTGTAAATGGCTTTTCATTTCATCATTGGTGATGCCACCCAACTTTATGTCTGTCCTCTGTTTTGGTGAGGAAATAAAGAAGATACATCTAAGACCTGTAAAACTGATGGGCAGACATGATTGAATTAAGAAATGAAAATAACATGATCTGTTCGTCTATGCCAAGGATAACAAAAGAAAATCCGACATACACTTCTAAATGAGCTCTTCTACAAAGATAGTACTTTCGTACAAAATGAATTATTGTACACAATTGTTCATCAAGTAGAAGCCAAATATGTGTTATGCAGTTTCGTTAACATGTACAGGCAGTCTGAGTTCATTTCCAGGCCCAGCTACAACAGCCTTCAACCAAATAGAATAAGATCATGAAAAGGAAGTCTAAACTACTGTTTGGAAGAGTACCTGGTGGATGATCCTGTCATATAAAGGAAAATATAGACGGGAAATCAAGCTACTATCTTTTTATAAGTCTCTCAAGGCTAAAAGAAATTCAATCAGAGAGCTGGATTTTGCTTGGGAGGAGGGGTGGCCCATGGGGAAGAATAGCAGGTAAATATTTGGTAATCTTCAATGCTAGCAAGAGAACAAAACTTTCTTCTCGATTTCATGCACAAGCATCCACTATATTCTGCTATTAGCAAATAGCATATACCGAATACTTTATACAAATATATTATCAAATAGTTTAACCAGTTCATAAAAGTGAAACATCGAGACAATGCATGTGGGTCATCACAGGGTCTGCAATCCACAGAATACAAAATGTGTTCAACTTCCAGAAAGCTATCACTATTGAAACAATGTTCATAAGCAAAGGAGACATACATAAGTACAGATAATTACTATTCTAAACTCCCACGAACAAGAAAATCTGAGTAGAAAAAACAATGATGAGACAGAAGAGACAGGAGAAGGGGCTATACTACCTTTCCAATCTTGTACAGAACATTGCCATGCTAGTATAAACAACTTACTCTTTCAAATCAGAAGAAAAGAGGGATAAGAATGAGCAATATATAGATATCCAACACTCCATCCTATCATCCCGTAAGCTTAGAGAAGGAAAAGATGTTGAGTATGTGGTTCCTTCTTAAAAAACATATTTCCGATCATCATCCATGAATTACCAAGATATCACTTGGTACATAGATATACGAACATATCATTCAGGAAAAATAACAAACCACAAGAAAAGTGTCAAAGTTACAAGAAAAAAGACGCTAATGAAACGCAAACATTCCTGAGACTGCGAAATCAGTTCTAGACTGGCTTTATATACTACAGAAATGGAAACTAGGGAGAAAGTAATGCCCAACTCAAAACTATCTCTGCTTGTACAAGGAGGACGAAGGATGAGCATCAACTGCCTTTGAGCCACTGCTTTGGTTTAGTTCAGTCGCTGGAACAGTGTTAACAAACTGATGTGGTGGAGGCTTAGTGTTTGGCAACCCCATAGAGCCTTCCAAATATGGTGGTGGCCTATAAGCATCACCATTTATGGTGTTCGGCAACTCCATAGAGCCTTCCAGTTTTGGTGATGGCCTATTAGCATCACCAGGTATGGTGTTTGGCAAACCCTTAGAGCTTTCCATGTATGGAACAGGCCTATAAGCATTACTGGGTATGGTGTTTGGTAACCCCGGAGAGACTTCCAAGTACGGTGGTGTCCTATTAGAATCACCAGGTATGGTGTTTGGCAAACCCTTAGAGCTTTCCATGTATGGTGCAGGCCTATAAGCATTACTAGGTATGGTGTTTGGCAACCCCGGAGAGACTTCCAAGTACGGCGGTGTCCTACTAGAATCACCAGGTATGGTGTTTGGCAAGCCCTTTGAGCTTTCCATGAATGGTGCAGGCCTATAAGTATCACCGGCTATGGTGTTTGGCGTTGATGGCCTATAAGCGGATCCATAAAATTGACCAGCATGACTTCCTATTTGCCCGGGTATGCTATCAACTCGATTCCCTCGATGACCTCCAGCATATGGAACTCCTTGCGGGACAACATCCATGCCTGCATGAATACTATTAGCACTTGCTGATATACCTGCTCCAGGTCCACCAATGGCCACACCTCTCACTGGTCCTGCCAGTGAATAACCAACATTTTCATGAATTGAGCCCGCAACAGGTCCATGCAATACCAAAGGTGGCATAAAATAACCATAATTGTGGCCAGCAGTTCCACCACCTTCAAACAAGGTGTTATTGCTAATGACATTACTAGCAACTCTTTGATGTTGTGGCGGCCATGGATTTGAAGAATGTGAGTGTTTCATTTCTTTGTTGCTCAACCACACAGTTCCATCCTTTTTTCTCTTATGCGATCCATGTGCTATCTTCTTATCAGGTATCTGCTTATTGAATTCAGCAATTTCTTTCTCCAAACTCGCTATTCTCTTGCTGATTTCCCATCCGGGAAGAACTTTTGAAGGATCAACCTCGTGATTTCTCAAACATTTGATGATCGATCTCAGATCACCTAAGTACTTCCCTTTTGCTACAATATTCCCTTGATGTGCACTTTGTGATCCATTCATGTTGTCAAATAATTTTTTGGACTCTCTTATAAATGTTGTTAAAAGTGTCCTAGGGTTAAATTTGTCCTGCATTCCAACACTATAGACAATATGAACAGCTTTAATTACTGCCTTGTTCGCCACCATTTCCTCTATTATTTCTGGAAGCTTCGCCATGAGAGCGTTTGATCTTTTGAGTGCATCAAAACTCCACTTAAGGTTACTTACCTGAAGCAAAGTTCTGATATTCGCATTTGTAAATTGATCTGGAATCCCGAAACCCCCAATAAAGAAGAGCAAACCTCGGGCATCAATTTCTTGAAGCTTTCCTCCTTCAGACTTCATCCTCTCCAACCATGCTAAAGCTGTTTGCTCTGCCTCTTCCTTCACCCAATTCTCAATCTCAACTCCCTTGTCACAGATTCCTATCATTAACAAGAAGCATTCCAAAAGTAATACTTTAGCCTTCCTTCCCCGGCCCAAAGGTGATTCATTAGCAAACTTCTTGCCCGCTGTAATATAAAACTTACCGATACAATTAAATACAAGGGTTGCAGGATTGGGCGAAAGTCTCAATGCCTTACGGACTTCTTCACGCAGTCCACGAAAATTTGAAATATGTGTTGTCATATACTTCCGCAAACCACAATGGTCCATCGTTTCGCAGAAGATTTCCAACTCTGAACGGGGAGATTTCAGTTCTGAACGAGGCGATTTCAGTTCTGAACGAGGCAATTTCAGTTCTAAGTGAGGCGAATTCACTTCCTCGCCTTCGTCTTCACCTTCGCCCTCGCCTCCCTCCACTTCCTTCTCCTCTTGCTGGACTTCTTCTTCTTCTTCTAGGTCTTCAGAGGGGTCAGATTCCCAAGATGGTTCTGGCTCCGGGGCCGGGGCTGAGGCTGGGGTTGCAACTGCTGGTGATGATGAGGCAGGTAAAGGTTGAGGGGGTAGCAGCATAGTGTTGATTGAGGTTTGTATTGAATTAATGTGTCGTTGTAGATCATTGAAGCATTGTTGGAAAGCGGTGAGGGAATAGGAGAACGTGCGGAGATTGTCGGCAGTTATCGATACCTGAGAATGTGATGGTTGCAATTGGGTGGCCAACGGTGGCTGCGACACCGGCGTCGCTGTGGCGGAAGTATCCATCGTATTCAGCGGAGGAGAAGTGAGTAATTCTTTACCGAGAATTGGTACTGTTAACCCTTTCCTTTTTCTTTTTGGAATTGTGATTGATGCTACCAAAGCCTTGTTTGATAAGGAGTAGAAAACATATTTTCCAACGTTTTCCACGTTTAGTTGCTTAAATATTAGTACTATATTTCAAAAGTTATTTTTTTTTTTTAGAAAAAGAATCTAATGAAAACAGTAAAAATAAATTTCATAAGTGGTAAATTATACATTAATTGTGTCTTCTCCGCTCTCAAGCATACCTTATTTTAACCCATGATATGTTTAGAATATTAGTATTTTTTTTATGAGAAAATGGCTAAATGAGCACCCAACCTATTACCGTATTTCCAATTACATACTTATACTTTACGGGGTCTATTACCTTTCTGAACTATTTAAAATTAAAATTATTACTTTCCTAAATGCCTATGTGGCAAAATGAGTGTATTTCACTCTCTTTGAGAGAGTGAAGACCAAAAATAAATATTAAAACTTTATGTTTAATATTCTTTTCGCTTTTTTTCTCCTTAATTTGTTTCTTTTTTTAATTTTTTTAAAAAAGGAAGTCAAATTAAAACACCCAAAGTAATTGAAAAATCAAAACAAAAAAAAAGCTACAGAACAATTTGTAACTAAGCTCCTTTCTTCCTCGGAACTCCAAGCAACGGTCCAACACCGCCGCATTGATCTGGAAAATCGAGGTACATAGTTGAAGCCAACCTCAATCATACCAAACTTGAAACTCCTATGAAATTGTCATCTATATAACTCCCATCACATAGATCTGCCATGGAAATATCACAAAAAGCTTGTATAAATTTCATCCAAGACAACTATCTCATTGCTAATTTCTTTTCTTCTTCTTAGCAACTTAGTAGAGCATTCATGTCAGCCATCAAATTTCACCATCACGATCTGAAAATCACCACCACAAATCATAGATAGAAATCTCCTTCCCACTCTCCATAATCAAAATCTATTAAGGGTCTGTTTGGAAAGCCACTTGGTAATTGGAATTGGTGTAATTACTAGGGTAGTAATTATCAACCTAATAATTACACTGACCTGTTTGGTTGCCACAGTGTAATTACACTGTAATTACACATGTCATGTTTGGATGCCACAGTGTAATTACACATGTTCTGTTTGGATGCACAATTGCAATCATAAAATTATAATAAATTTT